GGTCTAGTCCTAAAAGATGCTCCAGAAAAATAAAAATGCTTGAAATGGCCAGATGTGGTTACTGTGGCTCCATGGGGGACTTAGCATATCTGGCCAGTCAAGGGAAGCTCTGGGAATCTTTCTGATTAAAAAAACAAATAATAAGTTTAGACTTACTTGAAAATGAAATTTGTTTGCACAGTATTTCATATTTCTTCTGTTTAATACAATCTTTAATTATAAAACACCCAACTAGGTGACTGCCAGATTACATAAGAAAAATGAGGTCTGGCATGATGGGTCCCAAGGTATCCACAAATCCCTACAAATTGAACTCAAATTCCAAGACTCTACATGCCTGAATCGCACCCACACAGAGACAGATCCATAGAGTTCGTGCCTCTCTGTTACTTCCTTAGGCTGATTACTAGCCCCACAGTGCTAGGGGCACAGGAGGAACAGAGAAGATGATCAAAGAATAGAATAGCATCCCCTGGATCCAAACACTGTGCTGAGCTGAGAACATAGAAATGCCACAGCTCTTATTCTGAGTTCTCCCAGCTGGACAGAAACAAAGGTCCAGAAGGCTGTGCAGTTAGAGGGCTCTGAATCCCACCGAGTACAGGCTACGTGTCAAGTATTGTTCTGAGCACAAGTATCTTCCCAGAAGACTATAAATTCAAGTTCCTAGAAGTAGCCCACTCTAGGGTTAAAAGATTCTACGAGGCTGATTGGCTAGTGGGAGCTTCTGTGATAATGGAAATCAGCTTAGGCTGTTGATAGCTCCTTCAGTAGCCATTGGTTGCCCACTGGTTTCTGACCTAATGTTTTTGAGACTCTCCTGTGAAACTTGTTGAGATACATTGTTAATAGGACCACTAACTTCCATTAACCCCAAAGCTAAGAATGTCCTCAGATAGCCCCTGAGAACTACAGCAGAGACTTTATCATTCTGTTGTTACCTCCTGATGTTCCTACCACTGCATCTGAAAAGTGCCTTGATTTAAGCCTTATTTGTTCTGTTACTCTAAAATGTTGTCATTAAACTGTGATCACACTGGAATGCTGTGTTTAGGAGAACCTGAATCCATATTCTGGGTCACAATCACACTTGGCTTCAGAATAAACTCTTAATCCCTTTGGGTTGAGATCTGTGTTTTGATGTTAAGGAAATGAACACATCCTCTTCAGCTTCTACACAGGGTCATTTCTTTAACCAAGAATACGAAATGCCAATGACTCCTCCTACTCCAGTGGGTTATGCCTCTGAGAAACTTTCGGAAATACCTTTATTCTTTTGGACCCATGGAATAAGTGGGAAATTATCAAGACATCTTCAAATCAGAAGGGAGGCCACACACAACTGGCCAGTTGTGATGCCTGGAGGTGAAAGGTTTGGAATGAAGATGAGAAGATTGATTCCTTGACCACTTTGACCTCTCCTTTCCTGTCATAAAAGATCCTTCGGGCAGTCGGTGAACCATTTATTGAGACTCTGTCCTAGCTGAAGTGACCTGCAAGATTCTTGGACTTTAGCTTATTCTCCTGCCTAGTCCTGGTCACCAGCCATAGTTTATGACATTTAGCCCAGTTAGCACAAACACCCCATTTATCTAGAATAATTTTTCATTCCTTCTCTACATGTAGCCATTGCAATTTTAACTGTGTTCTATGTGTATCATCTTGAAGATAATTAGTCCCAGTGAGAGGGATCAAGCCCAATCCAAATTTTCACTAGATAGCTGAGAAAGTTTACTGGGAGGGGCAATAACTAACAAAATAGACAGCCACTTGCTAACTGTATGTAACAGAGCCCACAAGTCTAGAAGGAAAAGTTCGACATCAAAGGCTTTCAAAGAATCAGTCCACTCTGTCCACCTCAGTCTTCCTCTCTTACCGGGACATGGCATTTTCTTCTTAAGAGTCACATAGTAGCCCCAGAAGTAAGTTTCATACTTATTTGTTCCTTTGGTGTTCATATAGTAACCATTAAGATCTGGGTAAGGGACTAGGTACAGGAGATTCAAAGCATCTTTTAAACTTGAACTTCACCACAGCCATGTGCACTTGCTACCAGAGAGACGCTCCTCCATCAGGAGCCCTGTAAAGCTCTCAGATGAAGCAGACACCTGACAAGGTCTCTTCTATAAGCTATAAGCAACTCTTGTTGCTGTCAAGATCTTGACACATGCCACCCCTACCCCCACCAATTCTAGGCAAGTGGTAGTGGTTATATTTTAGGATGGGCTGCATAGGGAATTGTAGAACCTTCTTGGGTAAAATGGCTCACAGACGGACCCAATTTGAAATATGGCAGTAGGAATAAAGAATTGGATGTTTGGATGGAGATTGGTAGCATGGGGTGTAGAGGAAATTTTAATAGAATACAAGGTAGGAAGGGGGAGATTTGCCAATAAGGGGTATACTCCTACAGTTTGAGGATCGATGCTGTCATTCCCGAGTCTAATCCTAATGCCCACTGGGACTACTTCTTAGAATTTTGATCTAGCAATGACCCAGAAATAAAAATTAAGGAGAATAAGAGAGTCAGGTGAGAAAGTGAAAAAAAAATGGAGGGAAGGGAAGAAGGAGGATGGAAGGAAAAGGAGAAAGGGAAGAAAAGGGTAGGCAGGGGAAAAGGAAGACTGAAGAGAAACAGAATAGGTAGATTAATAAAATGTGGCCAAGAAAAGAAAAGGCTAATGGGCCAGTGATATTAAAATTACTAGCATGAAGCCAGAGAACACAGCACCTATGTTCTCCAGCTACCCGAAAGCAAGGGTGCTTCACGAAGACAACAAGCTACCACTGATGACAGATGATGCTGGCTATCTCTGAAAACCTGGGGACAGTTGGCCTTTGAGCATTGTCATAGAACCCGTCTCTGGGTTCGTGGAGATGGGAACCATAGGAGCAGAGGTAAGGAGACAGGCAAGTTCACTCCCTCAAAATGTTAGAGGCCATAAGGATTATCCGAGATCTTTGGTCTACAGAGCTCTTTTGTAATGTCTAATAGATCACAGGATCCCCGTGGGAAGAACCAGTGGGAAGCTGTTCAAAGTATAAGTGCGAATGAATAGCAAAGAAAGAAACTCAAGAGCTAGGAACAATGTCATTCAGCTTAGGCAATAACAAAATTTGAGAGCTGATAACCGAAGACTGATCTCCAACTCAATGAAAAATTGAAATGTTTCTATCAGCTGTCTGCACAAAGTACCTGTTCAAATGACAGAAAAGTAACCTTTAAATCAAGAAGTATCAGCAGCTATATTATCTGTCTAATAGAGACATTTGACAGCTAGACAGGGCAAATTCGGCAGGCATACATCTGTATGCATGCAATGTCCTAGTTGGAAAATGTTTAAAGCAAAATCTGATAGACTGAAATAAGCCAGTCAATACAGAGTCTACTTCTAGGTATATTTATGCAATTGTCTGAGGTCACCCACTGAGGAATATTTTAATATAACTTTCTCAATACTTGGTAATGGACTCAGCCAACCATAGCCCAGTAATTACACAGAAGATCTAAGCCACATAGTTTAACTTGCAGTGAATGTGGCCAGCAACATAAAACTTCACCTTCTCTCAAATGCACTAAAATCATCTGCTGTATATGATCTACAGTGAGTATTCATTTGAAAAGACTGGCCCTGGCTACACAGGATATGTTTAATAGGATCCATCAATGTATGCTGAGATTACATAATAGAAAACTCAAAGCACATGAGAACAAAGCATTTAAATTTTATCAGATAAAGGTAAAAAGAGAAATTTTGTTTGTTTTCTTTGCTCATTTTTTCCCTTTGAAGCAAGCTTTAATGCTGATGTTGAACTCCTAATTCTGCTGCCTTCAATTCCCACATTCAATATAACAATTTAAATTTCTATCTCAAATGTCTAGAAAAGAACAGCAAACAGTAGGGCAAGATGAATGATTAAAAGTGAGGATAAACCAATTATAGCACAAATATAAAACGGCAGAGTTCAATGAAGCCATAAATGTACAGAAAAAATACGGGCAAAACTCTGGAGAGCAGGAAGCCCTCATCAGGACCCAGCCTTCTAATCAGGATGCATGCTGTGCCTTCACCAGCACAATGGATCCCCAGAAAACAGTCACTATAACTACTCTCTCTGTAGGCAGAACAGAATCTGAAAGCTCTAACGCGTCCAGATGAGCAAATGACACAGCTATGCATTTTCATGCCTGCAGTGGGGTGGGCAGTGGTTGTGGGATGTCCTTCTGTGTATGTGTTGCTTCAATGGCTTAGCAAAGCAAAGCCAGGTCGAAATCTGAACAGAGATCCACAGAGAGAGTAGGCAGAGTCAGAAAGATGCCATGTAGCTGCCGCTGGAAAGATGCTGGAACCTTACCAGTAGGCCACAGCCTCATGGTGATACATATATTAATAGAATTGGGTTAATTTAAGATGTTAAGAGCTAGTTAATAATACGCCTGAGTCATTGGCCTAGCAGTGTTGTAATTAATATAGTTTCTGTGTGATTAATCAGGTCTGGGTGACGGGGGAAATGATCAAGCAGTCTCTGTCCACAAGCAGTACTAATTCTGTGGAAGAATAGGCTCCAAAAGAACAAAATGGAGCATTGGGGCAGCCTGAGTGCCGACACCCTACTTGAACCTAGAAGACACCCACATTCACGCATATAATTCTCCAGCAAGTATGTTTGGGTACCAAACCCTAAGGGGATCTTCCCAGCTTGGAGACCTTGAACTTACGACCTTTTTATCTCATGATCAAATACCAGCTGTATTTATGGCTTAGTCTTTCACTGTACCATCATCATAAGCTAGCCTTAAAAGTCCCATGGCTTACAAATGACAAAATATATAAAAATCATTAAAAATTTGTTTTACCACCTTTACTACTAAATTTGTTAAACATTTATGTCCAGAGGCGCCGCCGTTTTTACTGCTTGGACGCGGAGTGAGAAGCTCAGAGTCAGAGACGCTATCTGCTCCCATCTGTGGCGCAGATCCTGCAGGAGCCGCTGCCGCTATGGATGTTCAGGAGGATTTGGTGTACTAGGCGAAGCTGGTAGAACAAGTCAAGCGATACAATGAAATGGTGGAATCAATGAAGAAAGTAGCAGGAATGGATGTGGAGCTGACAGTTGAAGAACGACACCTTTTATCGGTTGCGTATAAAACAGTGATTGGAGCCAGAAGAGCATCCTGGAGACTCATCAGCAGCATTGAACAGAAGGAAGAAAACAAGGGAGCAGAGGACAAACTAAAGATGATTCGGGAGTACCAGCAAATGGTTGTAACTGAGCTCAAATTAATCTGCTGTGACATTTTGGATGTACTTACTGGACAAGCACCTCATTCCAGCAGCTAACACTGGCAAGTCCAAGGTTTTCTATTATAAAGTGATAGCGGACTACCACAGGTGTCTGGCTGAGTTTGCCACAGGAAACGACAGGAAGGAGGCACGGAAAACAGCCTCAGGGCTTACAAAGCTGCCAGTGACATTGCCATGACAGAACTTCCTCCAATGCACCCCATTCTTTTAGGTCTTGCTCTCAACTTTTCCGTATTCTACTATGAAATTCTGAATTCCGCTGACCGTGCCTGCAGGTTGGCAAAAGCGGCCTTTGATGACGCGATTGCAGAACTGGACACGCTGAGTGAAAAAAGCTATACGGACTTTATGCTTACCACGCAGCTGCTACGTGATAACCTGACGCATTGGACCTCAAACATGCAGAGCGATGGTGAAGCGCAGAATAAAGAAGTGCTGTGGTTTGTGGAAGATGAAAATCAGTGAGCCGTACTAAAGCCAACAAGAGAACACATCTCTGATCACCCTCCCTCCCCACCGTCCCCTTGGAAGTGTTCCCCATTGTCACTGAGAGCCACCAAAGTTGACTTTCACGTTTGGTCTCAGAATTTAGGTTTCCACCCTGTTGTTTTTCTTTCTTCTTTTTTTTTCTCCCTTCCCCCCTTTTAAAAAACAGTTTTCAGAAGTTCTTAAAGACAAGAGTGAATTTCTGTGGATTTTACTGGTCCCAGCTTTTAGGTTCTTTACGACACCAACAGGACTGCGTAGAGGCTTGTCAGCATTACTGTATTGTCTCCAGCCACACGGGCAAGATCATCATTAGAAATGGAAATGACATTTGAAAGCCATTAGACTTCTAAGCAAGATTAGTCACATGATAAAGACATACGTGCTGTCATGTTTCCTTTTAATTGTTTAAATGTTATACCAATGTTTAAACTTAATTGGATATTAGCTTGAGGTGTTTGGGGGAAGTTTGGTGTAATGGTTTTGCCGTCAAATGCGTTTGGAACTCTGCCGAAGTGTTGCTGAAAGGCCTGATGCTGGTAACAGTTCAACAATCCCTGGCTGCTCATTCTTGCTGACTACTCCCCCCTGAAGCAGGTTAACATTGAAGGTGGTATGGAAGCCTGTATGCATGTTCAGCTCTTCCTCTTCCCTCGCTCCTTAGCCTCCTTCCCCCCTCCTCCTCTTCTGCTCGCTCAACCTCTTTTGTTCAGTATGTGTAACTTGAAGCTAATTTGTACTACGGCATGTCTGACGGGAGCCACAGATGCAGCATCTGTATTGTTCTTACTGAAACACAGCATGGAATTAACATTAACCCTAAATAAAGGAAACCTAAATTAAAAATGCCAAAAACCCCCAATTATGTCTGATGATAGCCACATCACATTGTAGAGGGTTAGTTCTGTTTCCACCACATGGGTCTGGGAATTGAACTTGGGTCATCAGAGTTAATGACAACCACCTTTACCCACCGAGCCTCATCTTAACGGTTTTTAAATTTTATTGTGCATATTTCCAGCACATATTTCACAGTACAGTATGATTATTCGATAAATGTGTGATGTGAAATGATGAAGTTCGGGCGACTAACATTTTGATCTCCTGACCCTCCACGACCTCTAGTGACCACTATTAGTGCATATTTCGTGATGCCGGACAAGACAAGGAACTCCCTAATGAGATATAGACAGGTTGTTTTATGAATGATTTGAAAGTGCGTTTTTGCACACTAAGAATAGTAACAAAAGGAAAGAACCAGGAAAAAAATATATAAGTCCAGACCTTGTAGGAAGACTGAGGTCTCTGGATGGTGGCTCTCCTCTCGGCACCAATGTGGAAGTCCTTTGTACCACGTGCTCTGGGCATGCAGAGTTAGTCCGCAGCTGCTTGACCATCGCTGCTGAGACAACAGTGTTCTCTGTGGACCTGCAGCTGCAGCAGGCCCCAGACACCTACCTGCTGTAAAAGGAAACAGAGGATATGTTTGGCATGGAGGCACACTTCAGGAGGGAAGGAACCTGCTCCACAGTGGCAGGGAATGGTGCTTATTGCTAACACTGCAGCATGCTGAGGGCTGAGGCAAGGCTAGGAGCCACCTCATTAATCACGGCTGTGACTTTCATGGAGGCTATGCTGCTAATACTTTATTAATCTGTGAGCTCGTTCACACAAGCCTCCTTTTTACCTTTGAGTCTCCTTAATAAGCTTCTTGCTTTTTTCCATACAGATTGGGGTTGAAGCACAAGTTTCTGCGGGTCTCTGTGATAACCATTGGTGAGACGTAAAAGGACCCACTGTGGGATCTGGCAGGAAAGACATGCTTAGTGGTTTGGGCCTTGTTGGAGTTATGTCCTGTGAGCCTTCTATCCTTTGTATCCAGCTGTCAGTGGCTGAGTCTTCCTGAGCTTTCATCCGTGTTTGTTGCAGAGACTGACCAGGGAAATAAAGACTGTTCTGCTGTCCCTACACGGTGCATCCTGTTCACTCAACACCGAGCCATCCTCAGGGTGGAGCTTCCAGATGGTACCATAGCAGAGGCTGAACCAGGGCCAGGTGGTCACTAACCCACCATCAGCTGGGCTGGTGGGGACTGGTCAAGGTTCTTCTTCATTGTCCACGTGCCTAGATTTGGAATCACTTAGAAGGCACACCTCTGTTAGGCACTGCCTAGGGAGGTCTAACAGAACAGAGAAGACCTGCCATCCATGGGCAAGGGACCTGGACTGGATAAGAAGAGAAAAGGGAGGAAGTGAGAGCAAGCTGGGTGCCAGCGTTCGCCTCTCTGCTTCCTCGCTCTGGATGCCACGTGACCAGCTGCCTCCAGCTTCCACACCTTCCCCTGTGGTGAAAGAATGTACCCTCTGTGAAGATTCTTGTCAGGTACTTGGTCACGGCCATGAGAAAAGTAGCCAATTTCAGAATCAGTAAACGAAGCCGGCAAGTTCCTCAAGGTCTTGCTTGAGATTTATAGGAGTTTAGACTTCTTCACACCCATGGAGTAGAACAGCAGAAGCAAAAGGGCTTAGCCACATGTGACACTGAGCTCCTTGATAAGTGACTTAATTTTCCTCTACCCTCAGTGGAGCTTTAGCTTGATTATAGATAATAGATCTTAAATAAGTTTTACCTCTACATTCATGTGTAGTTTGGCTTGAATTTTTTTCTCCTAGTATCACTGTCTTGATACTAAGATAAAGGAATGAAGTCAGCCCCGCCAGCCATCCCAGCTTCCATCCAGAGGGCCTTCGGAGTGGTGAGTTGATTCGGGCCCGCGGCAGGGGCCCGGCGAGGAGGAGCTAGGACTTTCCCCGATCCCATAGACTCCCAGGTCAGCCTGCAGTGCTGTTTCCACCCTGCTAGGCTCTCCCGCCCACCATCCCAGCTTCCATCCAGGTACAAATTTCTATATTTCTCCCCTCCCACTGAGGCCATAAAATTTCCCCAGTTCAGCTGCCTTGCACACTGGGCCTGCTCTGTAGGGGCATCCCGGAAAGAGGGAGTGCCTGTGCTTCAATACCCTGCCTGGGGAAAGGTAGGCATTCTATCAGTGAACTCCCTGCCCAACAAGGGAACCTGACCCGATACCAGAAGTTCCAATAGAGAGCATTTGATTGAAGAGATGGGCAGACGCCAAGGCAAGACCTCCTCCAACAATCTGAAAAACAACATGAAAATATCAGATCCCAACGACCCTACAACAGAAGGATTTGAACACTCTAACCCAGATGAAGTGGAAAAAAGTGCCATTATGAAAGCAATAGAGTCCCTTAAACAGGATATGAATAACTCCCTTAAGGAACTGGTCGAGAAGTATAACAAAAAGTTTGAAGAAATGAGTATAGAAATGGATGAGAAATATAACAAAAAGTTTGAAGAAATAAGTAAATCCGTGAGTGATACCCTGAGAAACCAAGAAAAAACAATCAAACAAGTAAAGGAAATAGTCCAAGAATTGAAAACTGAAATGGAGGCAATGAAGAAAACACAAAACGAGAACTGGCTGGATATGGAAAACCTAGGTAAACGAGCGGAGACTACAGAATCAAGCATAACCAATAGAATACAAGAGATAGAAGAACGAATCTCAGATTCTGAAGATAACATAGAGAAAATAAATGCTCTGGTCAGAGAAAACGGCAAATCCAACAAATTCTCTTCACAAAACATTCAGGAAATCTGGGACACAATAAAAAAACCAAATCTAAGAATAATAGGGATTGAAGAAGGAGAAGAACTGCAGATCAAAGGCCCAGAAAATATATTCAACAAAATTATAGAAGAAAACTTTCCCAACCTAAAGAACGATATTCCTATGAAGGTTCAAGAAGCATACAGAACACCGAATAGATTGGATCAGAAAAAAACATCCCCGCGCCATATAATAATCAAAGCACAAAACATAAATATTAAAGAAAAAATTTTAAGAGCTGCAAAGGAAAAAGGTCAAGTAACTTATAAAGGTAAACCTATCAGGCTTACACTGGATTTCTCTATGGAAACCATGAAAGCCAGAAGATCCTGGATAGAGGTACTGCAGAAACTAAGAGACCATGGATGCAAACCCAGACTAATATACCCAGCCAAGCTATTGTTCACTATCAACAGAGAAAACAAAATATTCCAGGATAAAAACAAATTTAAACAATACGTAGCTACTAATCCAGCCTTACAGAGAATATTAGAAGGAAAATCACTACCAAAGGAATCCAACATTCCCAACACGACCTACAATAACTCGAACATCTAGCGACCATTCACAAGCACAAATCAAAGAGGAAAAACACATACACTCTACTACCTAAAAAAAAAAAATGACCGGAGTCAACAACCACTGGTCATTAATATCACTTAATATCAATGGACTCAATTCACCTATAAAGAGGCACAGACTTAGAGATTGGATACGAAAACAGGATCCAACATTCTGCTGTTTACAAGAAACACACCTCATCCACAAAGACAGACACTTACTCAGAGTAAAGGGTTGGGAAAAGGTTTTCCAAGCAAATGGACCTAAGAAACAAGCGGGCGTGGCCATTCTAATATCTAACAAAATCGACTTCAAACTAAAATCAATCAGAAGAAATGGAGATGGACATTTCATAATCATAACTGGAACAATTCATCAGGAGGAAGTCTCAATCCTGAATATCTATGCTCCTAATATAAAGGCACCCACATATGTAAAAGAAACTCTTCTAGAACTCAAGGCGGTCATCAAACCACACACACTAATAGTAGGAGACTTCAACACTCCTCTCTCACCAATGGACAGGTCAATCAGACAGAAACCAAACAGAGAATTGAGAGACCTATTGGAGGTATTGAATCAAATGGACTTAACAGACATCTATAGAACACTCCACCCAAATAGGAAAGAATATACCTTTTTCTCTGCAGCTCATGGAACCTTCTCGAAAATTGACCACATACTCGGTAACAAAGCAAACTTCCACAGATACAAAAAAATATTAGTAACTACCTGTGTCTTGTCAGATCACCATGGACTAAAATTAGAATTCAACAACAATGC